CAAGGAAGACATTCAGATGGCCAACAAGCACATGAAGAAATGTTCAAAATCCCTAGCCCTGAGAGAGATGCAAATCAGGACAACCATGAGATATCATCTGTTGTGTTTTTTTTAAAATTTATTAGTGTTTACTGTGATGAAATTAATGCTTTCATTTGTATACTCTGCCTAATTGGCATAAATTATGATTGCACTTTGGTTTGTTTTAGACATAAGTAAAATGTTTTTCCTGTATTAAATGCATCATGACTTCATAAGAAAGTGAACATTGTATTAGATAAATATAAAGAGTTGTTTTATTTTATTTTTCTAATAAGACAGGAAAAGAAGAAAAATACGATATTGTCAGTCTATTTGATTTGACTTTAAAATTGGAGCTGAGAGTCATCTTTTTTATGCCATATTTATTCAGATTATTATTTGAAATAAAAATAATTATATGATACTATTCATATACTTATCGTATGTTTGAGTATGTGTTTGTTTTATGTTTGTTAGTAGAATTGTAAATAATATCTTCAACATTAATAACTTAATTTGAATGGCTATAGGAATATGTTAAAAAGACTCATATTTAAGAGATCACATTATAGTGTTTATTCTCTGTATCTTCTTTTATTTTTTAGCTCTAAGAAAATGGCAGATGATAAAGCACCTGAATTTGCTAGCCCTTTTCTTAAGACAAACTCAAATCATAAGTTTCAAGACCCACAACAACACATGAATGAATTTTTTTACAAAAGTAGTAAGAATGTAATTTCACAAAAGACAGCAAATGAAGGTAGAGAAAATAACTGTTCAGAAATGACCACTGTACAAGAACAGATAGATAAAATGTACCTTGATATTTTGAGGAAAAAATTATCCGTTGATCCTTCATTATTACCTCAGGAGGGCAAAATTAATAAGGTAAGCATTGATTTGATACTTTGAGAAATCCAGTTACAATTAAGTATGCAAATATTATTGTTAAGTTTCTAAACAACTTGTGTCTGGAAACTCTATAAACTTTGATAAATGACAATAGTTAGAGAAAGGCTTCAGGCATTTTGTTCATAGGGTTGCCATGAGTTGTGCTTGACTCGACGACAGTCAACAACATATTCCTCTTAAGCTAGTGGTATTGCTAACATACATTCACAGTACATCTTGAATAATTATGAGCAGTACGAACTATGACACTCTAATTTACGTATTCTGTTACAGCATTAATTTTCTGTTAGAAACCTTTCTTTACTTTTTGCCCTTTAGGACGCATAGCCCAGAATTTGAAAACTATATTAAACTTATCTCATCATTGGAATGTTTATTGTTCACTCTTTCAATTTATCTATAAAAGTAAGATGACATTTTATATGAATGCTGTTAGCAACTGTGAAGAAACTTGTATTTCACTGTGTCTTTGTATTCTAGTCTTGATATGTTCTGCCTTGTATTTTTGGTGATCCCAGTACTCTTATCTATATTATTTATATCTTACAGTTTTTAATTATATGTTTACTCTAAGTCACCTCCAGTTTCTCTGTGAAAAGGCAGAGTATTAATAAGTTTTTCAAAACATCTTGAGAAATCTGGAGGAAAAATAATATTTTCTATCATTTTAAAATGTTAAAATATATTCTTCCGGTGAGCTCTGCTGGCCTGGTGGTAGGAAACTGCACTGCAATCCCAGAGGTGCGCAGTTCAGATCCACCAGATGCTCCGCTGAAGAAGGAGGAACAGTCACCTCCTGTACCAGTCAGATCCAATTTGACGGTACACACATAAAAAGAATAAATAAATAAATATAAATTATCTTTAAAAAAATAAATATATTCTTCCTTGTTTATTCTAGAAAACATCTTGTTTTCTGGCAAGTTTATTTTACTTTCTTTTAATAAATGTGCTTCTAAAATACTAGAATCCAGTGAATTAGATGTAAAGAACCTTAATGTAGTGGTTGTCCTTCTAAAAAGTGTATTATTTAATGTTATTTTCACTACAGTTTTGCCAGCTGTTGAATTTTTATTTGCAGTTAGAGTTGATATTCCTATAAATACTAGAGTTTCTCCTGTTATGTGCAGATGCTGAGATCTCAGCTCAGTTTTGAAGAAAACACTGTACTTAGTAAAGAAGCACTATGTAAGAAGACGAGAAGTGCACCTCCTTTACTGAAGCGAAAACCCCAGACTGGCTTATACGCATCAGTTAGGAGCTCAGGCTATGGCAAACCCAGTTCACCATTCAAGACATTTTTGACTTACGAAAAGAAAACTTCCAAGGACACTGTGAAGAACAAAAACTTGAGATCCATTCCCACTTCAAATCAAGCGAGGAAAAGGGGTAATTATATATTCATTTCACAAAAGTTTGATACTTCCTACATACTTTTAAAAGCACATTAGCACACTGAGCAAAATCAAAATTAAGAATTCAGGAAAGGGACATTGTGGTATAAAAGGATTGGCAGACAACAGGTGTGAAGCTACGAGAGCGGACAATTACACATTCTTTTGATAATAGTTTGATATTGCCCAGGTGCCATGACTTATGAAATACTGGGATAAATCCCAGTTAAGAGTTCAGGAAGAGATTCCAGGATAAAATGTCTAGCAGGCTACCACTGTTAATGGAAACTGCCCACCACTCAACCGTTGACTTCTTGAGAGAGTTCTCTCATTAGCAGATCACACCTGTTTAATGACCAAATTCATGAGACACCTATAATCTGGACAGTTAATACCTTCCGTTACAATTACTCTTAAAATTTCTTTTGAATGTTTTAAGAACTTTATCTTAGACATTTGTATTAAATGCATCAATTAAACATGACTACAGCTGTGTAAGGAGAACGTCTCCATGCCTGGAGAAAAGATTGAAAAGAAACCTTTGGGTGACAGATTAGTGATGATTTATACTTTCATATATTTTCTGAGTATTAAATTTTAAATTATTTTATTTTTAAATTAAAATTATTATATTTAAAAATTTGGCATTTTTATTATTTTTTTTAAAAAAAACTTGGCCTTTTAAAAGTTCTCATTTTCAAGAAAATATAGTAAAAGTGTAAATTTTGAGGTTCTCCATTTACTTTTAAGACTGAGGTAGTTAGGTCATGCTTATTGAGGTTTTAATTAGGTCCTGTACTATTTGACTATCAGCCTTAAATTCTCATCCAGGTGGTCATTGTTGTGTGCTGTTAAACAGGAACCCTCCAACGGGTTTCCTCTCAAGATGTTTTTCTTAAATATTCCTTATTATGTGAAAACAAGGCCAGGAGCTGATTTTGGAACACACCACCAGCTACTCATATGCAAGTTCAAGCTGAAGCTGAGGAGAATTAAATCGAATCTACGGGAACCAAAATATGACTTTGAGTTCATCCCACCTGAATTTCAGAACCATCTCAGAAACAGGTTTGAAGCCTTGAACACTAATGAGCGAAGACCTGGTGAGTTGTGGGAGGATGTCAAATGTATCATCCAGGAAAAGTACAGATGGTCATTACAAAGATAGAAGAGGAAGAAAAGACCAAAATGGATGTCAGAAGAAACTCTGAATATTGGACTGGAGTGTACAGAAGCCAAAGCACAAGGAAGATTTCAAGATACTAAAGAGCTGAACAGAAGATTCCAAAAGGCAGCACGGCATGACAAAACAAAATATTACAATGAAATGTGCAAGGAGCTGGAGTCGGAAAATCAAAAGGGCCGAACTTGCTCAGCATTTCTTAAGCTCAAGGAACTAAAGAACAAATTCAAACCTCGAGTTGCTATAATCAAGGATGCTTTAGGAAGAATATTAAATGATCCAGGAAGTATTAAAAGAAGATGGAAAGAATATACGGAATTACTGTATCAAAAGGAACTGGCAGACACAGAAGAATTTAATGAAATCATGTATGAGCAAGAGCCTTTGGTGATGAAGGAAGAAGTTCAAGCTGCTTTGAAGGAAATAGCAAAAAAATAAGTCCCCAGGAATAGATGGTATACCAGTTGACATATTTCAGCTCACAGATGCTGCCCTGGATATGCTCACCAAGTTGTGCCAAGAAATCTGGAGAACAACCACTTGGCCAACTGACTGGAAGAGATCTATATTTGTTCCCATTCCAAAGAAAGGTGACTCAACAGAGTGTGGAAACTGTAGAACAATATCATTGATTTCACACACAAGCAAGATTCTGCCGAAGATTATAAAAAAATTACTGGGACAGCACTTAAGCAGAGAACTGCCGGAAGTCCAGGCTGGGTTTTTAGAAGGGGTCGTGGTACTAGGGATATTGTTGCTGATGTTAGATGGATCTTGGCTGAAAGCAGAGAATACCAGAAGAATGTCTATTTGTGTTTCATTGATTATGCAAAGGCTTTTGACTGTGTGGATCATAACAAACTGTGGCTGACTCTGAGAAGAATGGGAATCCCAGATCACTTGATCATTCTAATGCGAAACCTATACTTGGACCAAGAGGCAGTCGTCAGAACAGAGCAAGGAAACACTGCATAGTTCAAAATTGGGAAAGGCGTACGCCAGGGATGTGTCCTATTTCCATACCTTTTCAACCTGTATGCAGAACAGATTATCTGAGAGGCTGGGCTCTATGAGGAGAAGTATGGCGTCAGGATTATTGGAAGATCTATTAACAATCTGCGTTATGCAGATGACACAACCCTTGCTGAAACTGAGGAGGACCTGAAATGCTTGCTGCAGAGGGTCAAGGACTGCAGCCTTCAGTATGGATTGAGGCTCAATGTCAAGAAGACAAAGATTCTCACCACTGGACCAACTGGCAGCATCAGGATGGATTGTGAAGAGATTGAGACTGTTAACAACTTTAGTCTGCTTGGCTCCACGGTCAGTACTTTTGGCACCAGTAGACAGGAAATCCAAAAACATATTGCAATGGGAAAGTCTGCTGTTAGGCACCTCTCCAGGGTACTGAAGAGCAATGGTGTCTCTTTGGAGACTAAGGTGTGTCTGATACAGGCTTTGGTCTTTGCAATCACTTGTTATGCATCAGAGAGTTGGACAGTGACTAAGGAGGATAGAAGGAGAATTGATGCCTTTGAGCTGTGATGCTGGAGAAGAGTATTGAATGTACCCTGGACTGCCAAGAAAACAAACAGATTCATCCTGGAGAGGGTTAAACAGGGCTATTCCTTGGAGGCAAAGATTCTGAGGCTTCGTCTGACATACTTTGGACATGTTGTAAGGAGGGATCCGGTCCTTGGAGAGGAACATCATGCTTGGTAGTGTGGAGGGATGGTGCAGAAGGGAAAGACCCTCTATGAGGTGGATTGATTCAGTGACTGGGGTAATCAGGATGGGTCTGTCAGAGCCAGTGAGATTGGCACAGGATAGAGCAGGGTTTAGGGCTGTTGTACATAGGGTCGCTATGAGTTGCAAGCGACTCCACGGCACATAATAACAACTCTTTATTATTAGCTGAAAGACATTTTCGCCTTAGAAATATCTCTACTGCTTTGGAAGTTTGTACAGTACCTTAAAAGCTGACGACTTGACTATGTATTATTCATAGATTTTCCTAATTTATGCTGTCATCATAATACTACTACTCTCTACTACTCTATTGTCATGGAGTAAAAACTATCTCATAGCTGACCCACCAGCAGATTTTCAGAAGCTACAAATCACATAGGAGGAGATAACCCATCTTTCTCCCATGGAGCAGCTAGTGGATTTGATCTGCCTGCCTTTGAGTTGACAGCTTAATTCCTTACCAGAGTTTTATAGCAGCACTAGCATTTCATTTCTGTAAAATGAAATTCCTATTAGCTGTTAAAAAGTTTTCTTGTGGGGAGGGGTGGGCAGGGAGAAAAGTACAACAATGAATGAATAGAAATCAAAAATCTCTGTAAATTTTCATTAAAATTAATAATAATAATAATTTAAAAAAGTCAAATTACAGTAAAAAATTTCCTTGAAATTTGTATTATTCCATTGATACTACATCTTGATAAAGAAATTGTTTGCAAAATTATGCTTTGAAAGTACATTAAATCTGAACTGAAATGCTTCAGAATGTTACCAGCTACTTTTGATTAGCTATTTAGGATTGCTTACCTATTAATGATATGAACATTTAAAATAAAATTTTACTTGAAGTAATAATGCCTCGGGTTATCTGAATCTACATTCTCATCACATTCGTCCAGTTCCATGAGCCATTTGTTGTGCATCTTGGGTCTGTTAGTTTGAATGGTATATTGATCGTGAGTGGTGATTCTCAGAATGCGCTATTGATTGTCACTGTGAAGTAGTTAAGCCCTGCTATTTTACATCTACCCTGTTGGGAGATCTTCATTTTATCTTAGGGTACCCATTGTATTATATTTATTGTTACTTAATTGCTAACTCCCTTTCAGCTTTGTTTGCTTTTCTTTACTCTTTCTGATATTTAGAGATTTTATCTGGAACAAAAGTCCTCAAGTCTGCAGCTTTGGGAACACCAACTCCAAAACTAGAAAATTGCCTGACTACTCCAAAGAAGTCAGAAGATCCCACACAGATTGAATCCTGTGCTCAGTTTCAGAATGTAGGTATTCTATTTCTGATTACTCTTGTTAGGTGCCATCAAGTCAAGTACAATTCATATCAATCTTAAGACCAACATATCTCAAGTCTGTCCTGTCCTATTCTATCCTTACCATCCATGACACTCTTGAACCCATTGCCACATTAACTGCATCAATCCATCTCATTAAGGATCTTTTTTTTTTGCTGACCCTCTGCCTTTCCAAGCATGATGTCCCTTTCAAAGGAATAGCCTCTTCTAAACTACTGTTTCAGTGAAATTATAAATAATGAAATGGAACAAATGTATGAGATTTCTCCTCTCTCCATAGTGACATTCTGGTCACTAATACTGAACATTTATGATCTTTCACAACGTAGAACAAGAGCTCTGGTAACGTAGGAGGGAGTTGCATTGCTAACCCAAAGCCCACCCCTCTCTAACAGTTCAAATCCACTACTGGCTCTGAGGGAGAAAGATGGGCAGTTCTCCTCACATGCAATTTAAAGCCCCAGAGACCCAGTGAAAGGTCAGTCATGGATCAGTTTCAATTTGACAGTAGTGAGTGAAAATTTTTTTAGTGTATACAGAACATTAACTATAACATTTTAATTGTGAAGATTTTTTTTCCTCTAATGACTAGTGTTTTAATGTTACCTGTAAATCTAACAATGAGGTGTAATGCATTTCCTTAAAAGGATTCTGCAGGATATCCTGGTGGGAAGGAGACAGAATTATTTTTGTTTAAAAGAGCTCAGGAAGCAGAGGAAAAATGGAGGGGTGCACAGGAACTAATTGATCAAATTAAAGTCACATTCTCAAATAAAGAACGTGAGCTGGAAAATAAGATGGAAGAACTAAAGATACAACAAGAAAAAGAACTCTTCAGACTAAATCAAGACAATTATATTCTTCAAGCAAAGGTATTAAACTTGTTGCTCTCTTTTTTTTCTTTTGTTGATTAAAAAAGAATTTGCTGAATGCCTTGCTGGTCTGTTGTGGAGTTGGATAATTTGACATATTTGTTGTGTAAATATGGATGTGATTCTGATTGTGCAGCCTTGCAGAAGAGCATAAATTGAAATCCCTGGGGAGGAAAAGATAATAGAGATATAGTTATACATGTACATATATATATATATAGGCTCATTTTGATAGTTTTCTTCAGATAGCAGTTCTTCTTTAAACAAATCTCTCAGTTCATTGTGATCTTCAAAGGAACTAGCATTTCAAGGGAAGCTGTTATAGAATATTTAGACTCAGTGACCTTGTTTAGCATTTCTGAGTTATGTCCATAAACAAACCACCAGCACAAAACATCACACCATTGATAAGCTCCAGGTAGCATTACATGAACTTCCAGTGGTACATACTTTAAAAGGGCTTTAGGTCTGTACACCTTGAGTTTTTCTGTTCTTTCTCACTTTTCCCTTCTTGATTACCTTCCTAATTGAAACAATTTCTGCATCTCCTCAGTTAAGTAGCTTTGAAGAAGCAAGCAAAAAACAAAGATGGTTGCATTTTGGAGAATCAGCTGATCCCGTCACTGATGAAAAATTGAAGGAAATCCAAAAAGAAATCCAAGAACAAGAAACACTTCTTCAAGGATATCAACAGGTATGTTCACTCCTGACCACTTTGGGACCTTGTTCCTGAGACCCTTTTGATCATAAAAGTGAGGTCCATTAAAATACTTCTGGGTTTCTTTTGTAGGAAATAGGAGTTCTGGTGAACAGGAGGAAGTAATCATTGAGCTAGTGTACACATCCTCATAGGCAGAGTTAAAGTGTTAGGTGGATGAATTCTGGACTAAAAAGAATCGGGCTTTGAGGCTTGGCTCCATCACCTGCTGTGCTCCAGTACTTCACTGCTCTGAGATATTCTCCTTATCTGTGAAATGTGAATATCAGTATTAATAGCTCCCTTTTATGTTAGTAGTGAAATTAAAGTGAAACAGGGCAAACTGACCTCTCAGCCAGGGCCTGACACGGCAGTACTCATCAGTGACTATTACCAGTTTAAGTTTTTAATAGCCATGGTCCTTAGCAGCTGACTTGGTTTCCTCAAGTACTTTTGAATAGATAAAATTGGCTAATTTTAACATTATATGCTGAAATATGGAATTGAAATCAATTGTCAGTGCCCTGGAAATGAAGTAAAAATGGAATTAAATATTTAAAAAATTGGTCCTACAGAAAGAAGGGAGCTACGTGTGGTTCATTATCAGTGTTGGTAACCTGACAGTCAGCCAGGGCTCATGGTCTCCTCAGAAGTCTGTTAAAACTTCCTCTCAGATCCCTCACTCCCTTGCTTCTTACTTCCCTCCCTCTTTTCTTTCTTCTCTCATCCCATTTTCCTCCTTTGACAATCACAGCGATCCCATTGAGCCTGTTGGCAAATATTGTCACCCAGTGACATCCACAGAAAGCATTACCATCTGTGACTACGACATTTAAGTGAAATAGTGCTACATTACTTACAGGATACGTTGCCCTAAAGTTAGTGGAGATTTTAAAATCTTTGGCCTGGCATTCTCATCTTACCTACAGAACAAGTATTTTTAAAAGTGATTTTTAGAAGGTAGAATAGTTAGCACATGCTCCACACAATTATTCCTTTTCTATTAAAATATAAAGGCCCTTTTAGAATAGCCATCAGTATTATTTAAATAATAGCCATTTCCTTTTTGTAAACTTGCATCACATACATATTGTGTGTGATCACAATAAAAAACTAAAAAAGCAATGTCCACTTCATTTTAACAAATTAACATGAGGAAAAAGTGAGGAATTGTTAAGTATATCTTCTCCCTCAGGTCTCTATTGCCTGAGTCATCCAGCCTCACAGGGAACAGGCTGAAGTCTCTCTGCCTACCCCTGGCAGAAACATCTGCTCTTTAATTTAGTTTAGATTTCAGAAACACACATGAATACTCAGGTTTCACCCTGGAATTTATCAATCTTTGGTCCTTTACCAAGGATTTCCAGAACTGGAGCTATTAGAAGAAACACACATGAACACTAACTGTGGCTAAATCTAGTTACTTCACTACTGAAAGCCTGGCTTCTGGAGTGTCCCTCCAGCCATCAGTTTGCTTTCTCCAGTCAGACATAAGAAAGAGCAAATGGTCTCACCAGGCCCTTCTGCCCTGTTCTGTGCAAACAGGATGTGGTTATTCTTGCAGCTTATTACCCATTTATTCCTGTGAAATCCAGTGCCTTTTACTGACACTAGGAAATATTCATAATTTTTTTTTAAATAAACAAGCATTTTGGAAAGAATCCTTTTTATTTGTTGATGTTGTTGTGTACCGTAGAGTCAGACCGACCCATAGCTGACCCTCTGGTGGATTTTCAGAGCCAGCTAATCACTTGGGAAGAGATTGCCTATCCTTCTCCTGTGGAGCAGCTGGTGGCCTCAAACCTCATGCCTTAGGTATTAAAGTTCAGCTTCTTGCCACTAGGCCACCAGAGCTCCCTTTTTATTTAACTTTTTTTTTAAACATTGGTTTGCATCTCTAATTCACATACATTGTGTTTCACACTTTTCTTCGTTCACATTGTGTTTCGTATAATTATTCCCATATATTGTAGTTTATAAAATTAATGACCATTGAACTATGCCTCCCATTATCCTGTTTTATCAGGTGCCCACCAGATCATTTTTATTTCCTTTATCCTCTCCCTCCACGCATCAAATTGTGTGACCCTCTGATTACTCCTTGCCTGCCCTCACTGCTCTGCTCCCACTCCTTGCCTCCTGTACACATTTAACTAGTGATCCTTCTATTTTTACAGTAATGGTTTTATGTAGTATTTGTCCTTATGAGACTGGGTTAGATTACTCAGAATAATGTTCTCCAGTCTCTCCCAAGTTATGTAGTAGTTTTTTTTTTTAATCATTGCTCATGAGTGGTGCGTACTAGTCTGTCATGTGAATATACTACAGTTTCTCAATCCATGTAATTGTAGTTAGGCATTTGGGCTATTTTCATGTTCTTGCAATTGTGAATAACCCTGCTATGAACATTGGTGTACGTATCTCTGTTTCTCAGTTCTAATTTCTTTGGGGTGTATTCCTGGTAGTAGAATAGCTAGGTCATAAGGAGATTTTTTTGTTCAGTTTTTTGAGGAAATGCCGAACTGCCTTCCAGAGTGATTGTACCATTTTATAATCCCATCAATGGTAAATGAGAGTTCCAATCTTTCCACATCCTCTCCAGCATTTATTGCTTGCTACTCTGCTAAACTTGGCTACCACTATTGGGATAAGATGGTATCTCTTTGTGGTTCTGATTTGCATCTGTCTTACTTCCAGTGATTCTGAGAATATGTCTGTTGGTCATCCAAATGACTTCCTCTGTGAAAAGGTCTTTCCATATCTTTTTCCCATTTTGTAATTGGCTTGTCAGTCTTTTTCTTCTGGAGACCCTGTAGGATTCTGTACACTTTTGTTATAAGACCTTTGTCTCAGATGGTATTGCCAAGTGTGTTTTTTCCTACTTAGTAGATTTTCTTTTCACCTTCCTGGAAAAGTTTTTGATCCATACAGGAATTTAATCTTAAGAATGTCCCATTCATCAATTTTAACCTCTCCTGGTTGAGTGTTTCTGGCTATATTTGTCACTCTCTTTATACCACAGAATAGGCCATCTAAGCATGGTCCCAGTTAGTCTTTTATGATCTTTATGGTTTTGGGCTTTACTCACCCAGGTCCCTGATCCACTTTGAGTTGATTTTTGTGTATGGTGTGAGATGTGTATCCTGTTTCAGCTTTCTGAAGGTAACAGCCCAGTTTTGCCAGCACCGTTGGTTGAAGAGGCTGTCATTTCTCCATTTGATATGTTTTGTTTCCTTGTCAAATTATCAGTTAACTGTTAGTAGATGAGTTCATATCTGGGTTCTCGATTCTGTTCTTGATTGGTCTATGTGCCTTTCATTGTACCAGTACCATGCTGTTTTGGTTACTACTGCTGTAGTTTTGAGAACAGAAAATGCTACTTCCCACTTCATTCTTGTTGTTCAGAAGTGCTTTGCCTGTTTAGGATCTCTTTCCTCTCCAAGTAAATTTGACAGTTGCCTTTCCTTTTTTTAAAAAAAAAATTATTTATCAATGTTATGATCAAACTATTACATTTAGCAGTCAGCAGCATGGATGCAAAAAAACCCCAGTCTACATTAAAAGCCGTTTAAGATTTGTACACCAGATGCTTTACACTTTCCACAGAACAGAAGCTAAAAGAACTTATTATAAAATTAGTCCCAAATACAGTCCTTGAGGTTTTTTTGCCTGTACATAAGAGTATTTTCTAAAACATGTAGTCTTTGTAGCAGTGAGGCCCTGCCACCACTGTGTGTGGCTGAGTTGACAAATCTGTCATAACCTGTAGCTTCCCTATCACTTCTCTGCCTCTGCATTCCTTCTAAGCCTTGTTTCCTGGCAGTTATTAAAACCATCGGCCCCTGCCGTAGCTACTGCAGGATTTAGTGGTTTGGTCCAGTATTGAACTCCACCACCATAAGGACCAGAACTTTCTCTAAAGTTTCCTCATTTCATGGGTCCAAAATTTGAAGACTGATTGTGATAATCGCCAAAATCATTGTAGCTTCCAAAACCTCTATAGATGCTTCCATCATTACTAAATCCATTTTAGCCATCTCCACTGCCTCCACATTCTCCACCTCGGGTGCCACCAAAGCCACCTCATCCACTGAACTTTCCTTCAAGATCAAAGTCGTCATTCCCACCAAAGCCACCTCTACTCCCACCACCAGAGTTTCTAGAACCACTTCGACCACTTTGGCTAAAAGAAGCACTGGCCATCTTTTGCTTTGATGGGACTGTCCTTACTTCACAGTTGTGATCATTCACAGTATGATATTTCTGAATAACGATTTTATCTACTGGGTCATGGCCATCAAAAGTTACAAAATCAAAGCTCCTCTTCTTGCCACTGCCTTGGTCAGTCATGATTTCAGTCACTTCAGTTTTCCTGTACTATTCAAAATAATCTCATAAGTCATATTTTTCAGTTGTCTTCTTTCATTCCACCAACAAATATCTTTTTCACAGATAAATGGGTACCTGGTGTTTGAGAATCTTTTCTTGAGATAGTCCAAGAGATTCTACAATCCTTCCGTCCACCTTGTAGGGCCTTGCATACATGGCTGCACCCACCTCTTCCACAGTTGAGTATGTGACAAGCCCAAAGTTTCTGAAGCACTTGGTATTTGGCTCTCTCATTACCAGGGATGCTGCCCTGGACGTGCTCACCAAGTTGTGCCAAGAAATCTGGAGAATAACCACTTGGCCAACTGACTGGAAGAGAGCTGGGTGACCCAACAGTGTGTGAAAATGATAAAACAATATCATTGATATCACATGCAAGCAAGATTCTACTGAAGATTATCCAAAAACGACTGCAGCAACACATCAGCAGAGAACTGCCAGAAGTCTAGGCTGGGTTTAGAAGGGGTCGTGGTACTAGGGATATTGTAGCTGACGTTAGATGGATCTTGGCTGAAAGCAGGGAGTACCAGAGGAATGTCTATCTGTGTTTCATTGATTATGCAAAGGCATTTGACTGTGTGAATCATAACAAACTGGCTGACTCTGAGAAGAATGGGAATCCCAGAACACTTGATTGTGCTAATGTGAAACCTATACTTGGACCAAGAGGCAGTTGTCGGAACAGAGCAGGGAAACACTGCATGGTTCAAAATTGGGAAGGGTGTATGCCAGGGATGCATCCTGTCTCCATACCTTTTCCACCTGTATGCAGAACAGATTATCTGAGAGGCTGGGCTCTCTGAGGAGAAATGTGGGGTCAGGATTGGTGGAAGATCTATTAACAATCTGCATTATGCAGATGACAAAACTCTGCTTGCTTAAACTGAGAAGGACCTGAAACGATTGCTGCAGAGGGTCAAGGACTACAGCCTTCAGTATGGATTGAGGCTCAGTGTCAAGAAGAGAAAGATTCTCACCACTGGACCATTTGGAAGCATCAAGATGAATGGTGAAGAGATTGAGATTGTTAACAACTTTAGTTTGCTGGGCTCCATGGTCAACCCTCTTGGCACAAGTAGCCAGGAAATCAAAAAATGTATTGTGATTGGAAAGTCTGCTATTAGGAACCTCTCCAAAGTACTGAAGAGCAATGGTGTCACTCTGGAAATTAGGGTGCGTCTGATAGAGGCCATGGTCTTTGCAATCACTTCTTATGCATCAGAGCGTTGGACAATGATTAGGGAGGATAGAAGGAGAATTGATGCTTTTGAGCTTTGGTGTTGAAGAAGAGTATTTAGGGTATCATAGACTGCTAAGAAAACAAACAGATTCATCCCTGAGAGGGTTAAACGGGGCTATTCCTTGGAGGCAAGGATTCTGGGGCTTCGTCTGACATACTTTGGACATGTTGTAAGGAGGGCTCCGGTCCTTGGAGAGGGACATCATGCTTGGGAGGGTGAAGAGACACCGCAAGAGGGGAAGGCCCTCTATGAGGTAGATTGACTCAGTGACTGGGGTAATTGGGATGGGTGTGTCAGAGGCAGTGCAATTTGCACAGGATAGAGCAGGCTTTACGGCTGTTGTACATAGGGTCGCTATGAGTCACAAGTGACTCAACAGAACGTAACAACAACATTACTACACAGTCTGTAAGCGTTTCCTTAGATGTAGAGAGGTGGGAATGCTCATACACTGCTGTTGGGATTTTTAAAAGGTACAGCCACTCTGGACGTTTTCTCAAAAAGTTGAACATAGAAACTCCGTTTGACCCAGCTATTCCACTACTAGGAATATACCTCAAGGAAATTAGAGCTGAGACCCAAATGGAGATTTGTATATCAGTGTTCATAGCAGTATTATTCACTATCACAAGAACATGGAAACAAAAGAAAATTAAAAAAAGGAAGAACATGGAAACAGCCGAAATGTCCAACCACACCTGAATGGATTGAAAAATTGTGGTACATTCACACAGTGTAATACAATGCAGCACTCAGGAGCAATGATTTCAAAAAATAATGCATAACTTGAGAGAGACTGGAGAGTATTATGCTGAATGACCTAACTCAGTCTCAGAAGGACAAGTACTGCATAAGATCATTATTGTAAAAAGTAGAAGGAAAACCAATAAAACATCTGTAGGGACCCAAATGGGGAAGGGGTGGGAGTGGAAGGGTGAGGTTGGGTAGGGGCGAAACCATGATCGGTGAAGGAAGGATCCAGCGGGGACCTGAAAAGATTGAGTAATTATGGGCAAGGTCCAGTGGTGATTGATTTTATAAAACATAATGCATGGGAATGATTATATGAAGCACAATATGAATGAAGAATAGTGTGAAACACAATGTGTATGAACTTTGTGAGCAAACAAATATAAAATTTTTAAAAAATACATGTCTCCTTAGACTTTTGTCTGTCGTTTCAAAGCTCCACCCTCTGATGAGTAGTTTCCACCTCTGTTGGGGCTCTTTAGGAGACTGTTTTCTTCAACATGGTGGCAATGGGAATTAACACTTTAGCAAGGTTTCCTGGGCAGCTGACGGTTGCCTTTTCGATCTCCTTTAAAAATGAATTTGGTATCTGTATTTGGTTCACATTAAACATGCCAATCGCTTTTGGTAGGATTGTTTGTCATTTTCACTCTATTGAGTCTTCCTGTCCATGAACAGGGAACATTTTCCCATTTATTTGGGTCTCTTATTGTTTCCACAAAAGTGTTTTGTAGTTTTCTTTGTAAAGATCTTTTGGTCTCTTGTTAGGTTCACTCCCAAGTATCTTAATTTGTGGTTGACTATTGTAAATGATATTGCTTTCTTAGTTTCCTTATCTGTAAATCATACCACTCAACTAAAATGGTCCACTAGTCCTTGGGGTTTTCTGTGTACACTCTCATACCATCTGCTTATAGAGACAGTTTAACCACTTCTCTCTGATCTGGATGCCTTTTATTTCCTTCTCTTATCATATTGCCCTAGGAAATACTTCCAATACGATATTGAATAGGAGTGATCGGAGTGGACATCCTGGTCTGGTTCCTGTTCACAAGGAACATGCTTTTAGTCTTGCTCCATTGAGAATGGCATTGGCTTTTGGGTTTATGCATAGACTTTTCACTATGTTGAGAAAATTTCCTTCTATTACTATTTTGCTTAGTGTTTTAATCAGGAAAGGGTGTTAGATTTTATCAAATGCCTTTTCTGCATCAATTGCTGGGAGCATGTGGATTTTGTTATTTGCTTTCATCATACCAAGTGATTTCATAACAGGTATGTAAAAGATGGTTCAACATAATAAAAACAACGTAATTCACCATATTGACAAAGTAAATACCAAGAATCCTTTTTAGATGAAAAGTTTTCTCTTGAGATGATACAGTGTTTGAAGAGATTTCTTTTATTCGGACACTGCAGAAATTTAAAAAGTCTTTAAAGTATCTGAAGAACAGTTTAAGTACCTATTCTCTGTGTAAGTACTACAGACTTTGAAGGGAGCTCTGGGGAGGGGGTGGGGGTGTAGTCCAGAGTGAGCTTCGCTGATAACCAAAGGGCTGGGCTTTCTGAGGGAAGAAAGATGGACAGTCTCCTCTTCCCATTTGTAGCCTTGGCTGTAAAGTGTCGCTGTGAGTAGGAACTTAATAAAAGAACATTTGAGATTTTGGCTGACTTTTGAAAGAGCCCTGGTGGCAGCTAACTGAAACTTCGTCAGTTTGAATCCACCAAAGATGTACTTAACGTCATTTTCTGTTTTAAAAAAGGAAAACGAGAAACTGTATAATCAAATGAAAGATCTCCAAGAACAAAACAAGAAAAATGAGGAGCTAATGTTTAAGGAAAACCAGAGTTTATTGAGTGAGCTAGCTTCCTTAAAGTAAGTCCTTTTTAATTCTTACAATCAAATACATTTTAAATACTCCAGGCATTTTATTAATTTATTATTTCATTTTATTCAGAATTAAAAACATTTGCACACTGAGGTGTAGAAAAAGTATATAAAGTGTATCTTTATACCTTGTCTTTTTAGGATTCAATGAATTTTTCTTTTGACTGGCATTAAATGACTTACATTCTTTCTGCTTTTTGGCATGCTCATATAGTTTGACATCAGATTCAGAAAACTGACTATACAAAATTCTTATTATCCAGCATTAAGCCTCAGCTACTTAACCATCTCTTCAGAAACCACATGATTAATATTTGTTAAAAGGACTATCGTATAACATCAATTATAGTTTTAGATCAGATTCCGTAGAGGCAGAATCTACTTGGTTGTTGTTATGTGCCGTCGAGTTGCTTGTGACTCATAGCCACCCTGTGTACAAGAGACCTAAACACTGCTCTGTCTTGTGCCAACTTCACTGTGTCTGACACACCTACTCCCATTACCCCAGTAACTGAATCAATCCATCTCATCGAGGGTCTTCCTATCTTGCGCTGTCCCTCCAGTCTCCCAAATGTCATGTCCCTCTCCAAGGAATGATCCCTCCTTGCAATATGCCCGAAGTATGTCAGACGAAGCTTCAGAATCCTTGACTCCAAGGAGCAGCCCAGTTTCACCCTCTCCAGGACAAACCTGTTTGTTCTCCTAGCAGTCCATAATGTATATTCAACACTTCTCTAGCACCACAGCTCAAAGGCATCAATTCTCTTTCTATCATTCCTACTCACTGTCCAGCTCTCTGATGCATAGCATGCAATTGCGAAGACAATAGCCTGGTTCAGGCACACCTTAGTCTCCAGCCTGACGTCGTTGCACTTCAGTACTCTTGAGAGGTCCCTGACAGCTCACTTTCCCAATGCAATTCATCTCCTGATTTCCTGGCTGCTGTTACCAAGAGTGTTGACTGTTGAGCCAAGCAAACGAAAACTGTTAACTATCTCAATCTCTTCACCATCCATAATGATGCTGCTAGCAGACTATAGGGCAAGGGGAAAATGAGGCAAGAATGTGGTCTCTGCTAGTTACTAGCTGCTCTCTGCTCCAGGAGGAAGCTCTGAAGAACAGAATCACTAAGTTTGGTTCCTTTTTGAGGCTGTTTGTTATACTAATCTAGATAATCACCAGCTGAGATGTGCCCTGTGAAACCCACTCATTGCTGTTGATGTGGAACCCACTTATAGCTGAGCCTTCATTGAGTTGCTGAGACTATAAATGGCATAGGAGGCGATTGCCATCCTTCTCACCCTGAGCTCCTGGTGGATTTAAACCAGAGAGGCATGGCCTTGGGGTTGTCAGTGCACCTCCTTACAGATTAGACACCAGGACTCTCCTGCCATGTGCAACCGGTGAAGGATATATTTCTGGGCTAGGAGATGTAAGGACTTCCTTTGAGCGCATTTCTCCAGAGAACTGGTGAGCTGTGATCTGCAGCCACCTGAGTCTTTCTGTAGCAGAAGAGTGAGACACTGGCACATAATGAAGAATCATGGCTTGTATTTAAGAGGTGCTTTGGCTGTTAATTGTTCCAGTGTGTAAGTGAAGTAAAAGAGCGGAGTTCATGCACAGAAAAGCTAGGATACTTCTTGTAGAGAATGACTAAATGAGCATCATTTCATATAAATGCCTAATCTCTGATAGCTGTTTTGTCAGGAGTAGCTTCCTTGACAGTGAATGTTAACATATTATTCACATAATTATTCCAGTCCTTATGTGATAATTTATACACTAAGAGGCAAGCCTACCACTCATGCATACTGATCTCTCTTATGCCAAATAGAAAAAGGGCACAGCATCTGACAGACTCGACTTAGGGGTATTGCAGAAGAGACCCTGCAGCTTGGTGCTGCACCAGGCCATTGTGGTAATTTATGACGCATCATTTTTGATGCAAGCATTTACTTTCTTTTTAAGTATTTCAAAAAGTATTTTCAGATATTGCATTTTTATACTGCCTGGCCATTAAAATGTGTGTTCCAAGATGCAAAACTTAAGTGTCTAAATGAACTTTCAACAATGAAAGAAATTATTCTTTGATATATTGTGATAAGACCATCTTTCATAGACTCCTAAACTCCTTGTATGATGTCTCAGGGGCTAGGGGGACAAACAAACAACAAAATAAAGCCCAGGTGGTGCAATGGTTTTGCTTTCAGCTACTAACTGAAAGGTTATAACCTAGAAATAAAGCTTACAAGCCTAGAAACCCCTACAGAGAATTCAGCATAACAGTACCTAACAGCAATGTACATGTAACAGACTATGCTTATTTTGTTAGCTTCATATGTAAGATTGGAAAAAAAATTAGGGAGCCATCTAAGGTGATGTGACAGCACAATAGGACATCTTTGTAGGACATTTTTTCTCATATTTAGGAAGAAATATTTTTATATTCCACTTAAACCAACACATTATATTCTTAAGCTTTTAATTCTTTTATATAAAACATAAATATTTAAGTGTGAAGGACTGCAGCCTTCAATATGGATTGAAGCTCAACATCAAGAAAACAAAGATTCTCACCACTGGGCCAAATGGCAGCATCAGTGGATTGTGAAGAGATTGAGATTGTTAACACTTTTAGTTTACTTGGTTCCACAGTCAACACCCTTGTTAAGAGCAGCCAGGAAATCAGGAGACAAATTGCATTGAGAAAGTTAGCTGTGCGGGACCTCTCAAGAGTACTGAAGAACAACAACATCAGGATGGAGACTAAGGTGCGCCTGATCCAGGCTATGGTCTTTGCAATTACGTGCTATGCATCAGAGAGTTGGACAGTGAATAGGAATGATAGAAGGAGAATTGATGCTTTTGAGCTGTGGTGCTGGAGAAGAGTGTGTAATATACCATGGACTGCTAGGAGAACAAACAGGTTTGTCCTAGAGAAGGTGAAGCTGGAATGCTCCTTGGAGTCAAGGATTCTGAAGCTTCATCTGACATACTTTGGACATGTTGTAAGGAGGGACTTATCCTTGGAAAGGGACATCATGTTTGGGAGAGTGGAAGGACGGTGCAGGAGAGGAAGACCCTCGATGAGATGGATCGATTCTGTGAGTGGAGTGGTGGGAATGAGTGTGTTTGAGACAGCAAGGTTGGCACAGGATAGAACGGTGTTTAGGGCTCTTGTACATAGGGCCGCTGTGAGTCGCAAGCAACTTGACGGCACATAACATAACAATAACAGACAACAACAATACTATCTTAGGTTTGGAAGCAGGAGTGGCATCCACTTCCTAAACAACATGCCTCTGGAAACTCTATGAACTTTGAGAAACGATGACAGTTATAGAAAGACTTCAGGTCTTTTGTTCATAAGGTCTCTGTGATTCGTGCTCAACTCGATGGCAATCACGAACACAACAACATGCTGCCTTACCAAAAAAAACCCCAAAAAACACCCAAGCCTGCTGCTATCTGGTATCCTGTCAGTTCTGATTATTAGCAGCCTTCTGCCAGCTTCCCAGGGCTGAAACCTTTATAGGTAGACTTCTCCCTTCCCACAGAGAAGTTGGTGGATTTGAACCCTTGACTTTTCCAGCTAGCAACTGACATGTAACGCACTGCATCGTCAATGGTTATAATACTTTTCTTACAGTATTTTAATTTTTAGGTTAACTAAAGTTTTTGTCTTCAATAACTCATAGTTTCAGTTCATTAGCATTTTTTCATTTTTAATATGTAGATATTTTATGTTAAAAGAATCTTTTAAACCACTTTTTTGTTTCCAAAATAATTCAGAGAACAAATGCATAAAAGTCACCTCCTGACTCGAACAGTGGAGGACTCCGAACACTCCAGAAATCAGAGTTTCACAGAACTGTTAGCAGAACTCCGCTTGGCACAGGTAAAGCTGTGACTTTAACAATTAAAATTTATTATAAAAATCCCCATGTATGTGAAAAATCTGTTTTTGTAATTTATGAATATAATGTTTTTACATTTCACATCATTTAAAAACTCAAATTATATATCCAAGATTAGAATTTAGTGTATATATATATTGATAGAACATATTAATGAATATAATTGTTAAATAGTATATGTTGGTGTTGTGAACTGTAGAATCGCAGCCAACCCATAGCAGACTCTCTCGCAGGTTTTCAGAGGCAGTAAATCCACAGGAGTAGACGGCCCATTTCTCCTGTGGAGCAGCTGGTGGCCTTGAACTGCATGCCTTCTGGATTGCAGCGCAGCTTCTTGCCACTAGGCCACCAGAGCACCATATATAGTATATATGTGCCCCTAATAGAAGCTGCTTTGAAGGAAATAGCAAAAAATAAGGCCCCAGGAATAGACGGTATACCAGTTGACATATTTCAGCTAACAGATACTGCCCTGAATGTGCTCACCAAGTTGTGCCAAGAAATCTGGAGAACAACCACTTGGCCAACTGACTGGAAGAGATCTTTATTTGTTCCCATCCCAAAGAAAGGTGACCCAACTGAGTGTGGAAACTACAGAACAGTGTCATTGATTTCACATGCAAGCAAGATCCAAAAACAACTGGAACAGCACATCAGCAGAGAGCTGCCAGAAGTCCAGGCTGGGTTTAGAAGGGGTCGTGGTACTAGGGATATTGTAGCTGATGTTAGATGGATCGTAGCTGAAAGCAGGGAATACCAGAGGAATGTCTATCTGTGTTTCATTGAGTATGCAAAGATGTTTGACTGTGTGGATCATAACAAACTATGGCTGACTCTGAGAAGAACGGGAATCCCATAACACTTGATCATGCTAATGCGAAACCTATACTTGGACCAAGAGGCAGTTGTCAGAACAAAGCAAGGAAACACTGCATGGTTCAAAATTGGGAAGGGCTTATGCCAGGGATGTGTCCTGTCTCCAAAGCTTTTCAACCTGTATGCAGAACAGATTATCCAGGAGGCTGGGCTCTATGAGGAGGAATGTGGGGTCAAGATTTGTGGAAGATCTATCAACAGTGTGCAATATGCAGATGACACAGCCCTGCTTGCTGAAGCTGTGGAGGACCTGAAGCACTTGCTGCAGAGGGTCAAGGACTGCAGCCTTCAATATGGATTGAGGCTCAATGTCAAGAAGACAAAGATTCTCACCACTGGACCAATTGGAAGCATCAGGACAGATGGTGAAGAGATTGAGTTTGTTCACAGCTTTAGTCTGCTTGGCTCCACAGTCAACATTCTTGGCACCAGCAGCCAGGAAATTAAAAGGTTTATTGCCATGGGAAAGTCTGCTGTTAGGTACCTCTCCAAAGTACTGAAGAGCAATGGTGTCTCTCTGGAGACTAAGGTGCGTCTGATACAGGCCATGGTCTTTGCAATCACTTGTTATGCATCAGAGAGTTGGACAATGACCAAGGAGGATAGAAGGAGAATTGATGACTTTGAGCTGTGGTGCTGGAGAGTAGTATTGAGGGTACCATGGACTGCTAGGAAAACAGATTCATCCTGGAAAGAGTCAAACCAGGCGGCTCCTTGGCGGCAACGGTTCTGAGGCTCAGTCTGACATACTTTGGATATGTTGTAAGGAGGGACCGGTCCTTGGAGAGGGTCATTGTGCTTGGGAGGGTGGAGGGACAGCGCAGGAGGGGAAGGCGGATTGATTCAGTGACTGGGATAATCGGGACGGGTGTGTCGGAGATGGTGCGATTGGCACAGGACAGAGCAGAGTTAGGGCTGTTGTACATAGGGTCGCTATAAGTCGCAAGCGACTCGATGGCACAAAACAACCACAATAGAGAACCCTATGTTACACTGGTTTTAAATGGCATCCTCTTTGTATTCCAACATGACTTCAAAAATTTCTTCCTGGAGCTGCATAGGAAGCTTCATATCTAGCACATATAACTTATTTCAAATAAATTCTTGTAGTAAATGTTCACTAAAGTTAGAAGATACTTGGAGGTGACTAAAAACTTACCACAATAGAGTCAGTTCCAACTCTTAGCCATCCTACATCAAATTTCCAAGGCTGTAAAGTATATCCTAAAGTGCTGAAGAGCAATGTTGTCAATATAGAGACTCAGGTACACCTGAACCAGGCCATCATCTTCACAATTATTTGGTATATATCAGATAGCTGGACAGCGTTAAGGATGATAGAAAAAGGTTCTTTTGGGTTGTGATGCTGGAGAAGAATATTTAACATACAGTAGACAGCCAAGAGAACAAATAGGTTATGGAGAGAGTGAAACCAAGTTTCTCCTTGGAGACTAAGATTTTTAAGATCCCTCTCACATACTTTGAACACGTGGCCAAGAGGGACCGATTCTTGGAGAAGGATATCATGCTTGGAATTGTGAAGTGACAGCGTAGGAGAGGAAGACCCCAGATGAGATGAATTGACATGGTAACTGCAGCTATGGAATTAGGTGTATCAGAGTCAGTGAGACTGGCTCAGGACAGGGCAGGCTTCAGAGCTGTTGTACATAAGGTCGCCATGACTCACAGGTGTCTCATCAGCACATAACAACAGCAACAACAAAATGAAGAGATTTGGTTTGCAATCCAACACTTCACTTACACTTTGCAGTTCAAATCTACCAGCTGCTCCTTATTAAAAAGATGGGCAGGCTCCTCCCATGCACTTTAAGCCTCTGAAAACCTGCTAGAGCATCACTGTGAGTCAGTTCCTACTCAGTGGCAGTGTGTTGAGAGTTGTTTATACACCCAGAGTTGTTGGGATTGGTGTCTGACTTCAAAGTGGATTGCGCATTGCTGATCGACAGAGAGAGACTGTGCCTTACATGTAGTGTACCCAACTACTCAACACAAAGACATAATGTAATGGCTACCCCATAACTTTTTTAAGTTTTTCTTTTTAATTTCCAGGTGTTTGGTCTGGAATTTTCCATTTGTTTTAAGCATGATTTTGTTCTCTTTGCCCTGAGGGACTGTGTACTGCTGGCCCTCCCTGTATTTCCAGATGGCCCGTGGGCAGGCAGTTGTGTCTTCTCTTCTGCTGTCACTGATGGCACAGGCACAGGGGGTTGTGCTGCTGACTCAAAGGTGGCGCTTCCCAGGTGGTTCAGATCCACCCTTGCTCCAAGAAAGAAAGGTGGCCAGTCATGCAGTTTACAGACTTAGATACCTGCTCGAGTGGTGCCAGCTCAAGAACCATGAGTTTTACTAATACTTTATTATTTAGAGTTACGTTACATGAATTATACCAACCATACTTTAACAAAGGTGTCCTGGTGGTAGGTGTTATGCATTGAACTGCTAACCAAAAGGTCATGGGTTTGAAGAAAAGTAGGCAGTCTCCACTAAGAAAGATTTACCAACTCATAAACCCAATAGAGGCTCTTTGAGTCATAATCAACTGGTCATGGATTTGGGTTTGTTTCATATTTTAACAAGGAGTGGACAACAAGATTTTATACATTAGGTAAAAATATAGTAGAGGAGAATACCAATAGTAAATTTCTGTTCCTCTGATTTCCAGGTCGGTAACCTAGGGGTTGGGCTTTACCACCAGAATGGGGACAGGATACCTGACTTCATGTGCACACCCATCAGTAAAGCTGTAGAAAACAACCCAGCCACCTTGCTAGAGGGCAGAAGGGCCACAAAAGATTGCCTGCCTTAATGTGGTATCTGAATAGTAGTTGCTGTGGTTAGGTGCCATCGAGTCGAGTACAACTCATAGAAACTCCCAGATGTGAACTCTGCTGTCCTAACTTGTGCCATCCTCATCATTTCTGACATACTCAAGTAGACAGAGAACTGGGTGCTCAATATAAACGAACAACCAATATTTATTTATTTGTGTTAGGATTTGAATCAGCACAGTTTGTAAGGGCTAATCATTCTCAAACTGAATAAAGAGCATAAACAATAATCCTGAGTCAGTGGCAACCTCCAGCATATCTAGGAGAAAGAAATGCACAACAGCTTTGAGAGGCTTACACCCTTAGTCCAGCTCACTGCATAATGTCCACAGTTAATATCACACTGAGCAAGTGCTCACAATACAAAGTTATAAAACTTCAGGAGACAGCAAGCATGAATATTCTTAGAAGATATAACAAACAGCAGGATTAGAGCCCCAGTAGAACTGTTGAACAGAGACAAAAAGGTCAACAGGTTTCAAATGACTGAAGATATAAAATAAATGAGAGGAGATACAAGAAAATTGTCAACAGCATGCTAGGCAAATTCAGAGAAAAAGAAATAGTTCCCTGGGAAAAAATACTGTATATTTAAACTCAGTCAAATAATTAAATGGATAATTATATGCAAATAGAAAAAAGTCAGTTAATATAGGTATAAATAACGTAACAGTGAAACAGAAAATAGAGCAATGGGAAATATTGAATATTAAGAAATATGAGACATTCTAATGTACATTTATATATTTAAAAAGATAATGACTGAGAACGTTCTAAAAATGATCAGAGATATCTTTTTAGATTCAAGAAGCATAGGGTGTCCTAAGCAGGATAAATAATTAAAATACACATTTTAACATATGAAACTTAGATCAAAACAAAACAAAAAAAAGAGGTGTTTAAGATAAATTATTGTTTGAAATTTTGTGGTTTTGTGTAAATATTGAAAACTAGAGTACAGATATTCGTGTATCCTTTGAAATTTTGAGGTTACATTTTAGAGCAAAATTTAGCTATACTGAGATAAATCTGTAATAATATTTATATCAAGTGGTTGCTGTGAAGCCGAACACTGTGACACTTATGAGTCATATGCGAGAATGGTTACCCATGGTGGACAGTGTGTGGTGGAGCTCCCCAATTAAAGCAAGCTTGGAAGTAGGAGTGACATCCATTTCCATAACAGCTTACCTCTAGAAATCCTGTGAACCTGGAGAGAGGACGAAAGCTATACAGGTGTCCAGGACTTTCATTCATAGGGTCTCTATGAGTCGCCTATGACTCGACAGCACTTAACAACAGCAACAGACTTGATTAATTGATTGATTCTAAAAAAAAACCAAAAAAAACAACCCCAACAACAAAAAAACAACCCTCCCTCATTGCCACTGAATTGGAACCAGATGTCTGTAACAATAAGCTTGAGGATATCAGAGATCATAAGGATGGTGGTGCAGGGCACCATCTGTTGTTCATAGTGTTGCTATGACTCGTAGTCAGCGCCTAACAACAAGAGCAGCAAAAATTGCAAGGGAAGAGATTGCCCATCCTTCTCCCACAGAGCGGCTGCTGGATTTGAACCACTAGAAAATAAGGGCACTATCTGTAGCCTAGCAGTGCAGCTCCCCATGTGCTCTGCCACCACCACTCATCAATTAGTATATTTCTTTTATTTATAAATTGAAATAAAGTTTTTATTATATACTGGTTTGTTGTTGTTGTTGTTATGTGCGGTTGAGTCGCTGTGACTCATAGCGACCCTATGTACAACAGCCCTAAACTCTGCTCTGTCTTGTGCCACTCTCACTGCCTCTGACACACCCATCCCAATTACCCCAGTCACTGAATCAGTCCACCTCATAGAGGGCCTTCTCCTCCTGTGCTGTCCCTCCACCCTTCAAAGCATGATGTCCCTCTCCAAGGACCGGTCCCTCCTTACAACATGTCCAAAGTATGTCAGATGGAGCCTCAGAATCCTTGCCTCCAAGCAGCAGCCCAGTTTAACCCTCTCCAGGATGAACCTGTTGGTTCTCTTAGCAGTCCATGGTACCCTCAATACTCTTCGCCAGCACCACAGCTCAAAGGCATCAATTCTCCTTCTATCCTCCCTGGTCATTGTCCAACTCTCTGATGCATAACAAGTGATTGAAAAGACCATGGCCTGTATCAGGTGCACCTTAGTCTCCAGTGAGACACCATTGCTCTTCAGTACTTTGGAGAGGTCCCTAACAGCAGACTTTCCCATGGCAATGCATCTTTTAATTTCCTGGCTGCTGGTGCCAAGAGTGTTGACTGTGGAGCCAAGTAGACTAAAGCTGTGAACAAACTCAATCTCTTCACCATTCTTCCTGATGCTTCCAATTGGTCTAGTGGTGAGAATCTTTGTCTTCTTGACATTGAGCCTCAATCCATATTGGAGGCTGCAGTCCTTGGCCCTCTGCAGTAAGTGTTTCAGGTCTTCCTCATTTTCAGCAAGCAGGGTTGTGTCATCTGCATAACGCAAATTGTTGATAGGTCTTCCACCAATCTTGACCCCACAGTCCTCCTCATAGAGCCCAGCCTCCCAGATGATCTGTTCTGCATACATGTTGAAAAGGTATGGAAACAGGACACATTTCTGGCATATGCTCTTCCCAATTTTGAACCATGCAGTGTTTCCTTGTTCTGTATTTAAATTACTTACTGTAAATTATATACTGGTTTACTTACTTTAAAAGCTTTACTGAGATAGAATTAGCCAACTGGCATCAAGTTGCTAATAGAGATATTTACTGTTAGAAAAAGTATTGTAGCTTTGGAGAACATCCTGCTAATTTTTTTATTGTTACTGTAAAATTTACAAAGAAATGGGTTTTCATGCATTCATTTTTTTTTGAGATTCCTCTCTATTCATTCCATAATTCATGTCCTGTTAATAACATTGCACACATTTAGTATGTTCTTAACTTATTATATGGCTCTTTATAAAGTTTGGCTGGAAGCATAATAAAAGCTAAGGTTCTCAGTCCTTTTATCTATAATGCCATACCATCCATAGTCATTGCTGGCATAGGGGACAGTCCTACCCGGATTTGTTTAGATAAGCGGTATTTGTAGAAAGATAACTAAATATCCAAAAACAAACTCATACAGTCCTGAAAAGAAAGTTACAAGAGATCACATAGAAGATTAAACTGTGAATTAATGCAATTAAATCTGTGATGAAGCTAGAAACAAAGATTGTATAAGGTTTTGTAATTGAGATTATTTTCCCTTTTAGACAGAATAAGTGTAAGATGACATATTAAATGTGTAACAGTTTTCTTTCTTTTAAAATAAACAATACCAAATCTACCAAGTCCCAGCATTTCTTCAGCAGTTAGTTCAGTGCAGCGTGTTTGTTGAGTACCTGCCATGTATTTTAAGTTCAATAAAGTAAGTGATGGTGGTGGTGCTGATTTCCTCATTTGAACTAACTTTGAAGGATAAGTACGTCTTTTGTCAAGGTGTGGAATATACCTCAAGGTTTTCAAAATTTAGGGAAAATATCTAGAGGTACTATGGTAAACGGGATGAAGAAGAGATTGTACTACATTTTTTGTAATTGGAAATCGTTTGCTTTTCTATCTCTCTGAATATCAAGAAAGAAAAAAACAATTTATTAGAAGATATCAAAAGACTGAAGCAAGACAAACAAGCTCTCGAAGTAGATTTGGAAAAGATGAGAAAAGAGAAAGACCAAGCCATAGATCAAATTGTTTATACTACAGGTAAGACACCAAGTTTATACTCTCCATTTTATACTCATATCTTAAGTTTAACTGGTAGCAACTGAATACTATTTAAAGTATTTTGTAGTCATAGAAACATTTTCTAAGTTTCATAATAAGCATGTAGAGTTGATTTGTTTTAGCAAGGAATGCCACATAACCAAAGATTATTTTGAGTTCATTCAGTTTTTTGTTTTGTGGTTTATATGTCTTCCTTTTGATTAAACTCTGACCTTAACTTTGGGCAATATTTGTAGGAGCTAAAATACTGTGAACTGTCAAATGTTTGCTGAAAGAACACATGGCACTGTGCTGTGTTTCTGTAAAGAGTGTTAAGACAAAAAGGGTCTGGTCTCTATGAGAAAAAACAAAGGGGAGTAACACACCAATGCAGACACTTTAAAATAAGACAAAAAGTTAGAGACATGAGAGTAAGACGGGATGCTGAATTGGCTAAATAAGATTCAAAGGGAATGGCATTTGTGCTGGGTTATTGTGGATAAGACTTGAAAATAAAGAAATAAAGAGAGCTGGTTGGTCAAGTGTGTCCCGGGGATATGTTGTTGAGTATGCATGTCGATGGGAGCTTAGGATGGCTAAGCGTGGGCCTGACAGGTAGATCACAGGAGGCCTTGTTTTCCAAAGTTAGCCTTTTTCCTCTACCACATAATGAGGGAGTGAGTAATCAGTGTTATAATCTGCATGTTCAAATTTATTCTTAACTATTTGTAAGAAAATTTTATTTTCCTCATCTGTAAAATATAACAATAATAGGACCAACTTTATAAGTTTGTTGTATTAAATAAAATACTACCATCTTAAGCATTCACTAATATTTACCATTGTTACTCTTTACTATGATATGCATCCTTACATTTGTACTATTGTCTCATGAGTGTAAACACTTGTTTTCCCATGGAAACGACTTATATAATGAAAGCTGGAAGTGGAAACACAATATTAGGAACAAGAGGGAAAACAAAATTTAAAAAATGGCTTTAAGCCAAGTTTGCTGTGAGTTTGAACATGTGAGCACATTCTTCTGTTTTCCTTTACCAATAAACAAGACATTGTATACAGTGAGAAGCCAGACAGACTCCATTTTAAATTGTTTTGCCCCAAGCTTCAGAGTTGTGCCTCGAAATGCTTCACAAAGCAGTAACTGCTGTTGTCCATTATGTTGTGAACTCAGTGTGTTCTTGAAATGTTTCAACTGCAAAATGTCCATGTATCTCTATTCCCTTAAAGTGTTTTTAACAGTAGACTGCTGTAGCTAATAACTCTGCACCTGGAGTGAGTAAATATATATATATAAATTCTCTTAGCAGAAACTGAGGGGAGAGTCCTGCGTCATTGCTGGGCCCCTTCCACTGCACAGCTAATAAAGGACTTGACTTCTAATCCTGAGATATATGTCTCTTTGACTCGTTGGGCACAGCAATAGGAACTACTTTATGCTGTGTGTTTTCATAATGCTTCCTTCCATGAAGTAAGCATCAGTTTTGATTAGAATCTCAGTATTCAGTTTAACTTCAATAGTTGAAAAATCAGAGTATTCAGTTACTTTATCTTCTAGGTGAAAAGTTGTATGAAATAAAAATTTTAGAGGAAACACATAAACAAGAAATCAGTCGTTTACAGAAAAGACTACAGTGGTATGCTGAAAATCAGGAGCTTCTAGATAAAGATACAGTCCGGCTAAAAGAAGCAAATGAAGAAATCAAGAAACTCAAACTTGAGGTATATTATGATTTCAGATATATATATATTACTGCCGACAAACCTTATTGTCCTCAGTGACTCACATCTCATTTATTAGCATGGGTTGGCTTCAGAGATGATATGAAAATCATCATATGCAGAAATGGTGACCTAGTAGCTAAGGAGTTGGGCCACCACATAAAGGTGGCGCGAGTCCCCCAGCTGTTCCAATGGAGACAGGTAAGTTCCTCCTGTGCGGTGTTCAGCCTCTGAAAACCTGCTGTGAGATGGTTCCACATTGATGGAAGTGAGCTTGAGTTTTTGATACAATCTGATTTCAGATAATTTGTCTGTAATTGGTTTTTTCTTCACAAAATATAATCATAGAAAGAAATACGCTTTGATTTCCTGATGTATTCATCACTGTGCCTGAGCCAAGTCTAGTTGCACCTCTGCATAGAAGGAAAAAATGGAAGAGACAAAGCTTGATAAAGTCATTCCATGACTGAAGGGCCAGGGCTTAACCCCCTCACTGTCCTCCTGTGCTAAGTCAGAACCACCCTACTACAGAGGAACTCCTCCAGGGCTCACTCCCATCCCTGAGTGCTTCCTCTTCAGGGATGCCTGTTCTGTCTTGAGGTCTGGGGAGGCTTCGGAAAGGTGCTAGGAGTAGGACCAAGCACCTGGTGCTGCTCAGGCTTCAGCTTCAGGCCTAGTTTATATCACTTTAAGATGCACTAATTTTGCACACAATTCCTCTACACACCAGGCTTCTTTATTTTCTTCTTTCCCACCCCACAGCAATTTTGATTTCTTCAGAGCTTCAGACCCCTGGAAACCCAGAATAGACAGACTCCTGCTATCTCCTGAGAGTGTTGCCACAGAGGAGAGCAGCCCCATCACACAGTACTCACTCTCCTCTCAGGAGGGCTCGACTGAGCAGTCAAGATAGTGTGGCCCGGCTTCTCAGAGGCCACGCCAGGCTCTTTGAGGAAGGGAGCACCTCAGCTATTGCCACTTTGCCCACCACCTCATTAATACAAAAAATAGTTGGGAGAAATCCCCCCCCAACTATTTACTTATTAAATGAATGTGAAATGTGGGATGATGAGATAGTTGATGTCAGCAGTAGCTATAAACTAGTTTAGCACAGCCTTATATGGCATGTATTGCATAGATACCGTAAACTCTACTTTGGCAAAACCTGCGAGAGCCAGCACTCAGTAGGCCTGCTGCTGTTTCCCTGCCTTTTCTCTAATAGGAGGTAGTATTACTGATTTGGATTTCGTTTGGGTTTGAGTTCAGTTTACTTTTAGGTGTATAATCTATTCCACATCAGGTTGAGAATGAATCCAAACTTCTTAGCACAGGCTATCAAGGTACGTCCCTTGTGATCTGAACCACCTTCCTCTGCAGCCTCGTCTTGAGCCTGCACTTTCGAGGGCACTCTCCTGTAAGCCACCAAATGCTCCTGCGATTTTTCAACATGCTGACCACTTACATACTTTCTCTCTTGGCCTGTAACACTCTGGTCTTAGTTGTTATTAATATTTTACTTCTTGTTCATGTTCTTGCTCATATTTCTATCCCTAGAAAGAGCACTTTTACTGGCTCCTTTATCTGATATAGTTGCCAACCCTATTCCTTCCTCTCTTTCGTACTCTTCCTTCACTCTGTATTTTCTCCATAAAACTCACCACTCACTTAAGTTATGTACTTACAGATTTACTTTCTAGTTTATCACCTGTCTCACTTCACCAAAATGACACTGCCATAAGAGTAGAGCCCTAGTTTGCCAGCCCCGGGCTGTCTCTGGAAAATACTCAGGACATGAGAGAAGCTCAATAAATGAGTGTTGGAAGAATTCATCGATCAACTAATGTTAAGTTGCCCCAACCTTTATTTCTTGGCATGTTTAAAGCGCATATGTCTTAACATGGTCTTTTTTTTATTGACAGGTTGAGAAACTGAAAGCTGAATCTGGAAATCCATCTTTTCAGCAGAAGATGCGTATAAAAGATAGAACAGTTGATGCCAAGAAAATTCAGGATCTGGAACGGCAAGTATGTTTTAAGGGTAAAATTTTTTAAGATATTTTATATACAGTGCATTTTTATTTGCTCAGGACTTCTCACAAGAACCTAGAAATTTTTGGTGTTATTCATATATTTTAATACATAAAACTGCCTCTTCTTTAAATATGCTTGATAAATTCTATTTCAAGTAATATTAATAAAATACTATCTTTTTACATAATGTATACCTTTATACATAAAGACTTTTCAAACTATTGATGAAAGGTGGTTGGTTGTTTACAATAGTACCTCCTAGTTCTAGTAGACACCCAGAAAGAGGAAAGCAGAATTTGAAATGGTATAGAGTTAAGATTCCTTCAACTGAGCAAAGATAGATGAAAAAAAAAAACAATAGAGTTTCTAATGCTTAGGATATGTTACCTACACTTCCCATAACCAGAACATTCCCTTTCCCTAAACGAAGATCATAATCCTCATTTTTTCTCTTTGTTTAAACTTAAAATACTCATTTCATGGCCAGTGGAAGTAGGAGACTTCTAAAACCATATAGGGAAGTCTATTAGTTTTTCTTCTATTAAAGTAGTTGTGGGGGCAGGGTTATCATTAACTTTTTCCCTTTTACTTTTAAAATATTCTGTAAGGTAGTATTTGTATTCAAAGCTAAATAGCAAAATGAAGCGCTCATTTTTATCTATGTTCACAAGGCACCATGTTTCTAAAGTCAAGTTAAGACACATAAAAATTGCTATTATTTCATCACAGACCCAACCTTGTGAGGTCATCTCAGGGTTATTACTCTAGTGATATGAGAATGAAAACTGAGGAAAAGGATTGTTGCTTTTCCTGCAACTGTTCTTATATTTTAAGGTATGAGATGGCCATTTAGTTCAGTGCACAGAAAAGAACAGGTGGTTTAAAGAATCAGCACTATTTTGAAATGAGGATAGTCCATAATTGCTTGGCTTTTATATTAGCCAATAAAGGATAAACTATACAGAATTGCAGATAATAAAAGGCCAAAGGGACAGTTTTCTCCGTTATATGATAGGCTTTTAAGAGAAAGCATGAAAAACTGACTATAGAAGAATTAAAAAAGTAAACCAAATTTAAGACTCAAAATGGTGATACACACTGAGCAGAAAGATAACATTTTTGAAAGTGTCTCTATGTTTTTTCAATATTTTTCATTAAACATTTACAGGTTTACACACTTAGATTGTAATTGTTCTAATTTTTAAAAATGTAATATACATCCCAAATTATCAAAATTAGATTGAATATACTTCTTAGAATTTTA